CGGGCAAAAATGCCATAAATCGTAGCCATGTGACTGTGAGGATACTGAAAACAACCATAAATGAGGGCTTAGTACCCAAAATGTAGTCATGTGCGGGGGGGGGGGGATGGCTGTCAGAATTCAAATCTGGATCATAAGTACTTTTTGGGAGAGGCCTTTGTAACCTTGAATGGTTGCTAAATGACCAGTTATCCCAAAGATGCTTTTTCACAACGCAACTGGACTTTGACCAGTTGTTAAGTAGAGAACTACCTCTGCTGCATTTTCAGAAGAGCTTTTTCTGGAAAACAGTCTCTTTGGAACAGTCTGATAGATAATATAATGAATTGCTGGAGCAGAGAGGATTATAGTAGTCAAGATTGCCTTCATCTCTTCTTTCAACAGGAAATTTTATTGGATCCGGTGCTTTCCAATAAAAGAAAAAAATTATTCCATCTTGATTCAGTGCAGTTTTTAGATGGTGCAGTTGTATTGTATTTACCAGAAAAGAAAACAAATTCTTCTCCCCTCAAAATATTTAGCTTTAAAATGGGATGTTGATTGTAGTATTTCTGAGAACATAATAGAGACTGATGATTTGTGTGTGTGTGTGTGTGTGTGAACTTCTTTTGTATGGATGTCTTAATTTATAAAGTTGTTTTTCTTTTGAGTAAATACATTGCACTGTGTCAGGCATAATTTTAGAAGAGCTTTTATTTCTTATCTAAATAAAAAAGGGATTGCTTATCAAAATGCTTGCCAGCTGTAGTTTGTATAAGTCAGGAATGTCTAGTTCAGCATGGATTGTACTGCTGTCTATTATGGGCAGACTTGTGGGAGGGAACATTGAGGCCTGGAGTTGGCAAGGGGAGGATGTGAAATAGGTATGGCCAAATTTTCAGTGATAGATTTGGAATCTTCCATTTTGGGAATAGGCTAGGGTAAGGGTAGGCAACCTTGGCTCTTTTATGACTCGTGGACTTCAACTCCCAGAATTCCTGAGCCAACATGGCTCAGCTTGAAAACCTCTCCCTTTCCCCTCAGCATGGCTGGCTCAGGAATTCTGGGAGTTGAAGTCCACGAGTCATAAAAGAGCCAAGGTTGCCTACCCCTGGGCTAGAGTTATCTTTGGCATATTGCCTCTGCCAAATCTGTTTCGGGGATTACAGTACAAGTAGTCCTCAATTTACAACAGTTTGTTTAGTGACCATTTAAAGTTACAACAGCATTGAAAAAAGTGACTTATGACCATTTTTACACTTATGACCGTTGCAGCATTGCCATGGTCACACGATTTACATTTGGATGCTTGATCACTGATTCATATTTATGACGGTTGCAGTGTCGCAGGGTCATGTGACCATCTTTTGCGACCTTCTGACGAGCAAAGTCAATGGGGAAGCCAGATTCATTTAACAACTGTGTCACTAATTTAACAACTATAGTGATTCACTTAACAAATGTGGTAAGAAAAGTCGTAAAATGGGACTCACTTAACAGATTAAACTTAATTAAACAAATTAACTTAAAAAACTCGCTTAACAAATTTCTCACTTAGCAACATAAATTCTGGGGTCAATTGTGGTAAGTCAAGGACTACCTGTATTGTTTTTGTGTGTTTTCTGATTTAGTATGGCAGGAAATCATACTATCAGTTTTTGGTTATTGGGTTGAAAAACCATAGTGGAGAATGCTGCAAAAAATAAAATTAGGGGTTCAGGTTGTTGTCCTCTGATATAAATACTTGCATTTTAGCAACCTGCTTAATATTGCATGAACTCTGATAATCACTAAGGTTGCTACTGTATACCATTAAATATGAGTAAGCTCTATCCAACTCAGCAGGAATTATGTCTGACTGTCTGACTAGATTTTAGTTTGCAACTCTGGATTACTTTTTCCTCAAATTTCCTTAAGTAGCATCCCAGACAGATGATACTAATCTCTAGATGGAGTCATCCCTGATTCACTAGACCAATTAATGAAAACAATAGCTTTTCTAGGTGGCACTTTGTGAGCATAATGAATGCTTCTTTGCAGTCATGACTAGACTATATTATATTTAAGTGCAGTTTACATTTATCAGAGATGATTAGTTTGGAGGGTATTCAGTTATGCTAACGTCTGCTTTTCTATTGGTCTCTCCTAACTTTTCAGTAGATTATAGTATAGCAAAGTGTTTTTCAACCTTGGCCACTTGGAATTGTGTGGATTTCAACTCCTGTAATGCTGACTGGGGAATTATGGGAGTTGAAGTCCACACATCTTAAATTCATTAAGGTTGAAAAACACTTTGCTATAGTGCAGTGGTGGAGAACCTATGGCACGGGTGCCAGAGGCGGCACTCAGAGCCCTCTTTGTGTGCACGCATGCCGTCGCCCCAGTCCTAGGCCTTCAGCTGGGTTTTATAAAACCTTTTCGCTTTAGGCCTCTGCCGCCATGTGCAAAAAAAAAAAAGGTTCAATCAATCAATTTCAACTTCTCGGGGGGGGGGGGGGGAGGGAAAAGATCTTGCAAAGTTGGAATTGATTGATTGAACTTTTTAGTTCCACCCAGTCTGCCATTACCACTGCAGCGACGCCCACCCAATGGGCCATGCCCACACGGCACTCGACGATGCATAAGTGGGTTTTGGGTTGCAGTTTGGGCACTCAGTCTCTAAAAGGTTCTCCATCACTGCTATAGTGGATGAGAGAGATAGAAATGAAAGGATTTTTGCTTTCATATTTTTTTTAAAAAAGTTTTCTATCTCAGAAAGTCAATAATTATTGACTTTACTTCAATAATTAATTAATTGAATTATTCTTTTCAGAACTATACAAAAGCTAAGATTTAAATCCAGCAATTGCCCTTTTTGATTTGGTTGAGATATTTAAAATGGAACAGGAAAGGAAATATTAGTGGCAAAAAAATTAACCTTCATCCTTGTTCTTGTAATAGAAGTTTCTACTAGTTCAAAACCTCCCTTTGGAAAGTCATCACTGCATGCAAGTCTGGGGTTAGATTGCATTAAGCCATAATGTTTAAACCAAACAGTAGCAGGCAGGAGTCTTCGTACCACCTTGGACAAATGGTTGTCCAATTTTTTTCTTCAGACCTTCCAGCGATGGAGAAACCACAACTCCAGGAGGCAAGCTATTCCATTGCTTAATGATTCTTACGTTCTTACTGTCAGTAAATTCCTTTATTTCCAAGTATAATTGCAGGTAATCCTTGAATTATGACCATAAATGAGCCCCAAATTTTCTTTGCTAAGAAAACAGTTAAGTGAAATTTGCCCCATTTTACACCCTTTTTGCCACAGTTATTAAGCTAATCAGTGCTATTGTTAAATGAATTATGCGGTTGTTAAACAAATCTGGCTTCCCACATTTACTTTGTTTGCCGGAAGTTTCCTGGGAAGGTTACAAATTGTGATCATATCACACTGGGATAGTGAAACTGTCATAAATACATGCCGGTTCTAAGTGCTTGAATTTTGATCATGTGACATTAAGGGTGCTGCACTAGTGTGAAAACTGGTCATAAGTCACTTTTTTTAGTGCTGTTGTAACTTTGAACGGTCACTAAATGAATGGTTGTAAGTTGAGGACTACCTGTATTGTATTTTATATAATTATAAACCTACATGGCTCATATATTGTACGCATATATAATTTATAATTATAAACCTGTAATTATTGTATTGTAAAACCATGATGTAGGGCATAATTAAAATTTTTGTGTGAATCTTGTTAATTGTGGCTTGGTCTATAAATCATTAAGCAAGCTGTGGCTTACTGCAGTGAATGAAACCAATCTAGGTTGCTCTGGAAAATTTTAACTCCACTTTGAAGGCTCATTTAACCTGGGACTCTGTTAAGCAATGTTTGACAATAGCCAACTTTCTTTATTTCTAAAACGTGTTCCTAAACTTTTTGCCATCATAACTCCCTTTAGTGCAAATTTAAATTTCACAACTCAAAAAATCCAAACACCAAAATGAACATAAATGACAATTCAAAATACAGTGAAACTTTATTTTTAATTAAGACATAAACAAAAAACAAAAAAAACCTTCACACTCTCTTGGACTCTGCCGCCAAATGAGTATTCCTCACACTTTGGGAAACTGTTATAAAACATCAGACTGAAAATTGCTAAAGAATATCTTTGATTATTTTTTAGCAAATAATTTGTTGTTATTATGAGGTATTCCTATTTTTATTCCAAAATCCTTGTAAATAATTAATGCTCATTTTAACAGTACACTTCAATTGTACATAAAAATCCTTCAGATTTAGAATTATCCAGATTTTGGAACTGTGTTGATCATAATTCAAGCGTTCTGGATCTTGCTAACTCACCTGAATTAAATAGTGATGTTAGATGTCTTAATTGAATGCTACTGCTATTCTATATATTGAGATAATCCAGATTCCTCTTGCAGATTGTTTAAAAAGTGTTAATAGCCCTGCTAACAATTGAAAAAAAATTACCTGACATGTTCAGACTAGGATTATCCCAAAGTGTAAATCAGAACCCCAGAATATTAGTAATATTCCAAATGTGTGTTCAATTTTTAGTGTTGGAAACTGTAGAATTTTGACTGACAAAGAAGCCCAAGCCCCTGGCAGGATTTCAGAGGGATTGAATAATAACTTACTGGTAGTGTCCACAAGAAGTAATTGCTTGAATATGAATTAATGTTTGCATTTTATAGTATCAAAAAGAGCTTCATATCTGTGAAGCTTATTTTGATTTAGAAATTTGCTGTGAATTTAAAAGTATTTTTAATATAAAAGGTTGAGTTCATGTAGTATAAATGTGTGAAATAAACACAAATGAAAATTGCAAGTATACACTGGCAATAATTTGAAATGATGTTTGTTTTAAAGAATGCGTTGGGCTGCTTTGTGTCCTATATGAAGTTCCTTAACCTTGGAAAGCATTCATAAGGCAATAAACACAATTTAATGCAAAACTAAGTATTTTTAAAATGTTATCTATATTTTAAACTTTTATTTCATTTTTTAACAGAAAATGATGCATCCTGTTGCCAGTAGCAACTCCCCTTTCTGCGGGACTGGAAAAACATCTTGCCTTAATGATGACAATGGGACACCCACCGATCAGTTTGATTTATATTCCACACAGCAACCCAAGTATAGCCACACAGTCGGGCACAAGCCAATACCATGCCAGAGACAAGATGCATTAAATGAACCACATTTGCAGACCACAAGTAGCAGAAATTTAGAGACAAAAGATGAACTAAAAAAAAAGAAAAATCTCAACAGATCTGGAAAACGTGGAAGGCCTTCGGGGACAACAAAATCAGCGGGGTACAGAACGAGCACAGGTAGACCACTTGGGACCACCAAAGCAGCTGGATTTAAGACAAGTCCAGGTAGACCCTTGGGTACAACTAAAGCTGCAGGTTATAAAGTCAGCCCGGGTAGACCTCCTGGTAGTATTAAAGCTCTATCACGGCTTCCAAATCTAAGTTATACTTGTAGCAGTGCGGCTTTTCCTTACTCTGTGGTGCATAACAGAGGAGTACATGCTACTGGTGAAACAAGTAGCAAAATCAAACAACCCACTGAATAAACATGTATAGGTTGATAATATTTCTTCAGTAATCATTTTTAAATTATCTTGAGTTGTGGCATGTTTTTTCACTTCTTTTGTAACTTTTTCACAACTTCCTTTCCTTTTTTAAAAAAAATATGGCATATCATAAACATACAATGTTTCTTTGTACAAGTGAAATTCTCAGTGATGCGCTTGTGTATTTTCAAAAGTAATTGCAAATATTCTGAGTGACAGATAATATTGTCTAGTCATTTTAGTTAAGGAGCTATTACTTCAGATAGCATATTTCCAGCTCCTTGATTTTTGAAGATTGCAAAAGATTAAAACAAATCAGAATAGACTAATAGAAACCAATCATTCAGGACTGTCTTATAAGTAATAGTAGTTCTATAAATTTTGCAATGTATATGATTATTTTTTTCTTTCTTTAAATAGGAATGAGTAGAAATGAATTTTTCCACAATTGCTGGAATTTAACACGGACCTCAGAACTTGTAGATATGTCAAAACTTTGAAGCTATATTTTTAGGAAGTTATCATTCCAGGCAGCCATTCATTGAAGTGCTATCAGTTACAAATAATTCAAATATTTTGTTGAAGACATAGTTTGTATGCAGCACCTGATCTATAATCTAAGTGCTACTTTTCCATTACAGTATGGTATCTCTCTCTCTTGGAAGTGCAAACTCTTGCACACTTGAGTTCTGGTTTATAAGGCCTAAGACTATACACACCAAATTATAAATAATAAAATATCAGAATTTTTTTATAAATAAGTTCTTAAAAGTGCTATCAAATTTGCAGTTAATAAACATAATGAAGGTTATCTCTGAAATTTTGTTCTCTTATTAGTCTAATTAATTTGAGTGATATATAGCATAAGCAAAGTTGTAGAATTGCCCTGTATTTTTCAAAATCTGTCAAGAAACAAGTTCAAAATGACTTTATAATATCTGCATAGCTGGCAGCATTTTTTAAAAAATAAAATAAAATAAAAATATTTGGTATAATTGAAAATTATACTTTTCAGATACTTGATCTTCCCATTTTTAAAATAATTTTGTTAGTACAAAACATCTGGAGCTAAGTGAGCATATATTTACCAAAGGAAGACATTTCATGGTTCATAATTGGAAATGGTACAGATGATGCATAAGCAAGTTTTCATTTGATGTATTTATAGATACCCAGATATCTAACAGAATTTAGGAATATATCTATGCATGGAGGTGCAGAATGATAAATACAATTTCTGATTTTTGTGCACCTAAAATAAATGTTCTGCATTGAGCTGGGTATGTGTTATTATTTTTAAGATTGTATATGAGTGTGTACGTATGTATGTATGTATGAGACAAAAAGGGGGAAAGAGAGAAAAAGAAAAGCTATATCTACAGTATTACACAAATTGCATTGTAATTGACCAGAAAACACTCAATATTAAATAAATTTCAAAATTTCTTTTGAACTAAAGCTATTCGAAAACTAAGTTTACGTTTAGTTCATTCTTAAATGTTTATGTTCAGATTCACTTGAGAGAGGTTGTAAATATTTGCAACTTTCATTTGGGATAGATCTCTTTCACATCAAGTACAACAGTATTGAATTTTTTCTTGTAAGATCAATATTGTAGCCTGCTGACGTTCTGACGACAGCTCTGATTTCAGTAATGACAACTTAAGAAATGGATGTCATTTCATGTCTGTTTTATCAGGAAAAAAGCAGCAAGCCTTCAGGTATTCCAGTGATGCCTAACTCATAATGAGCTGGACTTTATCCTCTATTTTATAACAGAATGTTGAATTGCTTTGAGGGGACTTTGTATGCACTGGCAACCATGAACCTCAACAGTACTGGAAGGCTTTTTAGTCATGTAAACTAAGGCAGCTAAACTGCTACTAAATTGTTTTGTCTTATTTTGCTAAAGCTATGAAGCTTATGTTTCCTTGAGAAACTTTGGAATTATCAGTTTTTTACTTTTTTTCACAGAGGTGCAACTTTCGACACACAGTGCTAATATGAGCTAATTCTCCCTCAGGACATATATTGTACTGTCTGTTTTGTTACACTCCCCACCCCTCCCCCAAAGCTGCTTGGAGAGCAGCTGAATGTAAAATCTAAAAAAAAAATAGTATACTCTTACAGCAAGATACTAATTTATCTTATGCCAGAAGTGTATTTTTAATCAACTAGATTTCTTACCTCCTGTTTTTCTCATGCTACCTTTTTTTAACTCCTCACAAATGAGTCTGTTTGATGAATCAGTGTATTGGGAGGTAAGGCAGATGCATTATTGTTCTAATGTGATGAATTATGTATTCTGAGAAAATATATGCTAAGAAAACAAGCAATTTATGTTTATCTATAAAGCTTATTAATTATATCTGATGGAAAACACATCCATTAAAAAGACTAGTTAAAATAGGCAGAAAGGAGAGCACTGTTGGACATTCTTGATTCCAATTGATTTTACCTTCCACTGCAGTTCATAAGGGCCATGATGGTAAAAACAGAAGTCAGCGATTTGAGATGTTTGAATGATAAATTCAAATATTTTTGCTACCGCTATATATAGTCTTCTGAATACATTGTGCTTTTTTGGTACATTATCTCTTGTCATGATAAACACTGCAACAGCATGTTAATTCCTATGCTTTGTTATTACTGGGAAGAAAGAGTATCCTTTCTTTCGATAGTATTGATACATGATTTGTAAAGCAAATGATAATTTTATATTCTATAAATTAATTGTACTCTACATAAGCTAGGATTGTTAATGTGTATTCACACTGCTCAAAACATCTACATGTTGTGCTTTATCTTTCTTTTGGTTAAATATAGATATTTGTTGTATCTTTTGATAAATAAGCATTAATAGGGACCTATACTACTTAAAAGACAGAAAAAAATGCTGTTTACTTTCTAACTAACTTTACATAAACTATAGAACCAAATAATTTTTACTACTATTTTTTAAGTCTTGCACTGGATATGTTCAAAATTATCGTATAAGTAGTACTTTCTAAAAAACGCTTTGTCTACTACACCAAGACTCACTTTTGTTTCCTAACGTTTTAAGGTTACTTATTACTGATTGGGATCTTTGTTCAACAATGGGCAATTTTTAGGAAATTACACATTTTATTTTGGTCTCACAAGAAATCCAGGAAAGTAATATATATGGGTTGGGAAATTCCATGACCAACAAGGCAAGAGGGATTGCTGTCAGGGCATTAAAAAGAATTTGAAAGGCAAAAACTTTCAGAATGAGAACTCTACACTTACTCCCTAAGTTGCCATTCTACTTTATATCACTGTACATACAATGCAGCAGCATGTAGTTCACTACCTACAGTTGCTTGCAATCAAAGCTTCTAGACTTGCTTATACTCAAATGCTTTTTATTATACATATAATAAATATAGTTCATTATTATAATGAAAATATTAGAACAAGCCCTTCCTTTTGGTCTCCTTTCCCAAACAGATAAATTTAAGTTCTGCAATGTGTACCCAATTTCATCTTGAAAATTATGATAGCATAACATTTTTAAAAAATATATATATTTAAATACTGTAGGCTATTTTAAGATTTTCACGTTCACGATTTGCTTTTCCATGGACAGGTTATTTTATTAGAAAAAAACCATTAATACCATCATCCTGTCTTCTGGTGTAAAAAGTCTGATTAGGTAATTGTGTTTGTTCTTACATCCATGAACCTCAGCTACTCATGTGCAATTGTCTGTATGGGAATGGAGTAGTATTCATGAACTGTACTTATGTCATCATTTGGATGTATATTTATTAATAAAGTAATTACTTTAAACACAAAATGTTTCATTCTTGCCATGTATTGCATCTGTCTTTCATAAATTTCATAAATGTCTTAATTTTATAAAATAATGCAATAAATTTACTAGCCTACTTAACAGAATGAAGAACTGTTAATCTGATGTTTTCATTGTTTTATGCATAAAAATATTGAATTAAATTCTTTTAAGTTTTTCTTTTGTTCTGCTCCTCATAACTTCTTATAATGTCTGATTGAAGGACAATGTCCACAAATGTTACTGGCTATTGATTTTGGTGACAATCTAATTAATGTTATTTGTATGTACATGTGTGAGACTAGGTCTGGATGACAACAAAAGCGTGAATGAGTGACTTGTATTTTGGATGTTTAAAATGACTATTTTAAATCTGGAAATCAATTGAGTGGTGAGGGGCTGAATACCATGGTAAACATGTGACCAAAATTTAACAGTTGATTATTTAAAAGCAATGGACCAATATTTAATTTAATATTAATCTTTCATTTTAAATATGTTTTCACTTTTTAAAATATTAAATATTAAAATAGGCTGTCAATTGTCAGTTCCATGGCTAATATGAACCTTTTGTTTTAAAAAAAGTGCACTGTTCCTTTACTAAAACCTTTTCAGAAATATTGTAATGTTACAAAACAGAAATTTTAGTAGCATTTCTTTTTAGATTCTCCATTAGAATAAAAGGGATAATTTTAAATTTAATTTTAATGTGTCTTTATGTCTTACAGCAGTAAATTTGGCCCTGTAACTTTTAGAGTTGCATTGCATGCTATGGAGAAAGGAGACTTTGTTCTTTGCTCAAATACATTATTTGCCTGCAGAACATCCTGGATTTTATCTCTGGTAGTTCCATTTAAAACTGGATAACTCCTATCTCAAATGCCAGAGAGCTGCTGCTCAGTAAGTGCCCTAAAATAGATACACCATTGTTTGATTTGTTACACAATCCTATGAAAAAGCCTCTTGCATTTAAAATCTGAAATTACTTCAACCGATAGTGGTGTTTCTTGTGAAATTTTATGTAAGATTTTTTTATTTTGATTAATATGTGTAAGCTCTTCTACTAGAGTAGATATAGAATTAAAATAGTACAGACATATATTGAGCGGTGTGTGTGTGTGTATGTATATGTGTGTGTGTGTACACACACGTACACACATATATATATATATAATCTTTAATTATACTAAAAATGCGAATCCTGGGTATATTCATGTTGAGAAAAATAGTCAAACACCAGGATAAATATAAAAACAACTGTTTAATAAACTAACAACTGTTTGATAAACTTAGCTTTTGTTGGCTAACTGCCGATGTCAGTGGAATGCCGGAGGCTCGAAAGCCTGCTTATAAGACTGGCAGTTTGTGCACTCTGTTCATAGAACTCGTTACCGGTCTACCCGCCCCAGTTGACCGTATTGCTTCTAATAGTCTTGCATTTGTCTGTATACTCGTTAGCTCAGGGATCATTGCCTCTCTTGTCGCTCTCTTTGCCCACTTTGGACATATCTGGGTACATGTTGCTATAGGATGGTCCCCCAATGCCTCCTATCCTGTGGCCACCCCCCCTGTTGTGAGTGTGGCACCCCGCCTCCCATCATTGGCTCCTGTACGAATCGTGCTGGGGATTTCTCCCCTTTGTCGGTCATGGTTCTTTGCTGTTGCATGAGACAGCAGTTCTGGTCTTGTGTATGGCAATGCTCGGGTCCATATGGCCAGCAACAATCACATGCTTGACCTTGCCGGGGCGGAGGCCATGGCCCAGGATGTCACCAAGGGCGGCCGGTTACTGAAGGAGGCTTGGCTATCGAATGAGCACTCAATTAATTGCCACATAGAGTTACTGCCTGCTTATCGGGCACTAAGGAAGTGGAAACAACAGCGTAACAACTCATGAGTGCAACGGGCGCAGCCTACGCAAGATCAGAACCGCTGTCTCATGCAACAGCAAAGAACCACGACTGGCAAAGGGGAGAACTCCCCAGCACGATTCGTACAGGAGCCAATAATGGGAGGCGGGGTGCCACACAATGGGGTGGCCACAGGACAGGAGGCACTGGGGGACCATCCTTTAGCAACGTGTACCCAGATACGTCCAAAGTGGGCAAAGAGTGACAAGAGAGGCGATGATTCCCGAGCTTATGAGTATACAGACGGATGCGAGACTATTAGAAGTAATATGGTCAACTGGGGTGGATAGACCGGTAACGCGTTCTATGAGCAGAGCGCACAAACTGCCGGTCTTATAAGTAGGCTTTCGAACCTCTGGCATTCCACACGACGAAAGCTAAGTTTATCAAACAGTTGTTAGTTTATTAAACAGTTGTTTTTATATTTATCCCGGTGTTCGAATATTTCTCTCTCCCTCCCTCCCTCCCTCCCTCCCTCCCTCTCTCTCTCTCTCTCTCTCTTTCTTTACACACACACACACACACACACACACACACACACACACACACACACACTCTCTTACATACTTAAGGTTGACTAGACCTGAATATTGGAATCCAGAAAATAAATTAATCTTTTCAAGCTTTTCTTATAAGAGAAACCTCTTCTTTATTGTTACTTTGTCTCACAAAGTACTGTGTGTGTCATTTAGTGCTGGAGGCTGACATGGAATATTTCAGTGTTTCATTAGTTGAATATAGCTCCTAATGTTTATTTGCCCTAGGGATATTTGCAGGGAGTGAAAATAAGCAATCCCTGATATAAATTGAAGCCTATTTGCCACTCTTCGCACTTAAGAGACTTATCAGGATCAACAAAATTTGGCATTCTATTGGGGCTAGTGCTGCATACAAGGTGCTCTTGTGTGGAATGTCACTTAATTCCTTCCCCCCCCCCTCAAAAACAAAGTTTGAAATATTCAGAATATTGTATCTTTCTCTTTCATGCTAAGCAGCTTTTGAATTTTTGTTTTAATTTACAACTGGGACCTCCCCCCCCCCCCGGCAGCAACCTTGTATGATGCACAATTTGCAGACCAAGTTGCAACAGCCCTGCATTCCATAATCTTAAGGCTACACATTTTCTTTCCTCTTCCTTTCCCACATTTTAATGATTGGTATGGAGGCTTCTGGCATAGCACTTCCCTAAAATGTTTATAGAGGGGAACAATACAGACATTTCAAGGTAAGCCAGTGATTCAATGTTAATTTCCAAGGTATGTCAGCAGTAAACATTATATATGCTCACATACTAAGACTTAAAACATACTGTTATATTAGCAGGAGTGTATGTTTGTGGAAGGTAAGAATCCTGAGATAGATGCTTTTGACAATCCTGAAGAAATAATATTTTTAGATAGATTTTAAATATTTTTAATGAAGCAATGCTACTTACAAATGTCATTACTTCAATATCTGTACAGTTAGAACTGCAGCTATAGAAATGATTGAAAAATTTAAACTCTAAAGTTGATACCAAAATAACACTAAATCAATAAACATTTTTGTTCTCAGTATGCACAAATATTTATGCTGTCACAACTTGTATAAGAACTATGATCCTTTCCCAGTCCTTAACAGAAATACCTAATCCAAAATAGGTAATGCCCAACAGCGTTAACTAAGAAATGTATTTTCCTTTGCACATGTTAAGATACTGGCTTTGAAAGAAACACAGCAAGCTTAGCTCTGTTACATACAAAGGAAGAGTTGTCCACTGGAAGCACCATAACAGAGTGTTCAGCTGGTGGTGAAAACTTCTTTGCCGCATTCTGAATGAATGGCAATGTGTTCTTTTGGTTTCTAGACAGGACCTCTGCTCAGTGAAGAATACTGTATAACTTATTCATGGGACAGACTCCAGATCTGCCACCTATTTTATATTGTTCATGACAACTATTATTCTGATGACCAAAGAGCTGGTTGGCAGTCCTGTGAGGCTTTGGTAGGTAATTACTTGGGTGCTTTATTAATACCAATAGTTGCTTATTTAATAAGTCAAATATTACTTTTAACTTCTTTATGTTTGTCTAATGCAGTGGTTCTCAACCTTTTTAATGCCGCGACCCCCAACCGGTCATAAGTCGAGGACTACTCAACCGGTCGTAAGTCGAGGACTACTCAACTGGTGCAGCACCGTTTGCAGAATGGGACTTTTGGCAGGCTTAGCAGGGCAGAGACAGCCTGGACAATTCCTATTGCTTTTGAAAGCCAATAGAATTAGACTCTATTCAAGAGAGTCTATTCTATTGGCTTTCAAAAGCCAATAAAATAAAAGGGAGTAGCACAGCTAAGGAAAAGGGAAAAAATGGTGGACTGCGTTGTTTGGCGACCCCTGTGAAATGGTCGTTCGACCCCAAATGGGGTCCCGACCCACAGGTTGAGAACTACTGGTCTAATGTTTGTTTGTTCAGTCATTTATTCAAATTCTAACGCTACACACTCACTAGGTGTTTCAGGATGGTTTATAGAGCATAACAGCAGTAGTGAAATTAATATAAATATCACAATAATAGAAGTAACCATGCAAGGGGAAAAAGACAGACTCAGAATACACAACGTGAATGAGTTCATGCTTTATCCCAGCCAAATGTCTATGAGAAAAGTCAGGATTTTAAGACCTTGAAGGACAGCAGGGCTGGGGCGATATGGAATGGGGAAGGTGCTGTTCTAAAGGACAGGTTAATAACAACAGAAGGTGTATCTTTTAGGTTCCATAAGATTTATGTATTTATTGGATTTTTAAAGCTGCATGAATCCAAAAAGACCCTGAGCAACTTACAATACTTCAAACACATCATTTTAAAATGCAGTTACAAACAGACATAATATTATTATTGCTGTAAAACGGCAACAATAATATATGTAAAAAAACTACTCGGAACTCCACAAACACCTTAATACCAGGCCTGGAAACCAAGCAAGGTCTAAGGCAGTGTTTCCCAAACTGGCTGTGGAATTCTGGGAGTTGAAGTCCTCATGCCTTAAAATTGTCAAGTTTGGAACTTTTCCCAATTCTTCAAATCTCTCTGTACCCTAACCCACAACCTTTCATAA